CAGAAAACTAGAATAACAAATAGAACTCCTTTGGAGTGTTCTGGTTCTAAAACTCATTAGCATTCTGAGTACTCTGATAAATAAACACACATTTTTCCCCCCCTATAGTTGGGATTGATAGATATTATTTTCACAAATAGCCTGTGGTTTTCCACAAAGTCCAGGTTCCCCTCATCTGGGAGTGGGTAACTGTGTTTTTTGTTAAGGTGTTTTAATGATTGGTTTTTGCATTGCCTCCAGAAACTGAAACCTCAGATACATTATTTCTTTAGAATTAGGCTTCCATTACTACAAATTGGGCTTCCAAAAATCTGATGCCCCAGAAGCTATTTTCCCCATAATTTAGTTTAAGACATATGTGGTGATTGATTGCTGAACCTTTGCTGTTGATGATTGAGTGACAAGCTGGCAAGAAAAATCTGCCGCTGACTACTGTTTCCTCTTTGTGGATGACAACATGGTTCCCCATGTGTGACTGACATGCTTCCAAGAAGAGCAGTCCCTATTCCATTTCCAACTTCCCTGATACTAAGTGAGAACAAACATAGGTAAATAAAGCAGACAAAAGCTAGCAGTACATATTTACAGAAGAGTAGCAATGTCAGTCATTGCAGTGAACAGCCTGATGTCTCAGAGCTCAGTAAACATTGTCACAGTTTACTAATGTATGCGTTTTCATAATGCAGAATATTGTGACAGTAAGCTGCAATATGGAGACTTAAGCCAAAGGAACCTCATGGGACTTGAACCTTTGCTGGAGGGCATCCAATGTAAGTTTAGATTGGAAATTTTTTCCTGTTCTATCCTTCCTTTCCGCAGCAGAGGGCAAAATCTGCTGGAAATCAAGATGGTGAATTTCAGACCTACTCAGCTGGGTGACTTTGGGCTTTTTCAGTCCAACCCACCTCACAGGGTTGTTGTTGTTGTTATGGGGGAAACAGGAGGAGGAAGGAATATTAGTTATGTTCACTGCCTTGAGTTATTTATAACAAGAATAAAGGCAGGATATTGAATGAATGAATGAATGAATGAATTCAAGGAAGGAAGGAAGGAAGGAAGGAAGGAAGGAAGGAAGGAAGGAAGGAAGGAAGGAAGGAAGGAAGGAAGGAAGGAAGGAAGGTGTTTGCTTGCCAAAGATCCTAGGTTCAGACCTAGCATTTCCAGTTAGAAAATCATTAGGTAGTTAATGATGTGTTAGCCACAGGATGTGCCACATCACAGGTAGTCCTCTACTTACGACTACAACTGAGCCAGAATTTCATATTGCTGCATGAGAAATGTATTAAGTGTGTTTTGCCCCATTTTATGACTTTTCTTGCCACATCTGTTAAGTGAATCACTGCAGTTGTTAAATTAGTAACACGGTTGTTAAGTGAATCTGACTTCTCTATTGACTTTGCTTGTCAGAAGGTCGCAAAAGAGGATCTTGTGGCCATCTTTAATGACCCTGCAACCGTGATAAATATGAACCAATGGTTAAGTATCCGAAGTTAATTCACGTGACCCTAGGGATGCTGCAACGGTCATAAGTGTGAAAAATGGTCATAAGTCACTTTTTTTCAGTGCTGCTGTACCTTTGAACTAAGCGAACTGTTGTAAGTCGAGGACTATTTGTATTCAGACTGAGGGATGCACTCCTCAAATTAGGCAAGGTAAAGATGAAGTGAAGGGACCGGGATAAAAAGAAAATGTGATTAAATTAAACTGGAGTCAGTAATATCACACCCCCTGAGATTATACATTTTCCATTTGTCTAACATCAAACAAACAAACAAACATTTTGGGGGGGCTGCTGGGACCATGGTGGGATGTGATGCATCCCTTTTGCTGGTGACTCTTTGTCTGATATGCTACATTGTCCTACAGCTGCCACAATTATTTTTACCTGTTTTTAAAATTACAGGATCCTCGTCTTGGTTTCTGTCACTCATCCTACATAAGAGTTACAATTAACCTATGCCTTCCTTACCCTTGTACAAAGCTATTTGCTAAGGCAATAATGGGCATATCAAACGAGGCTTTTATGTGAAAATAAGCAAAGTGTTTGACAAGATGTTTAAAGAATATAAATGTATTCTTTAATACATTCTTTAATACAAGAAATTGCCATTGTTAAACAAACTATTGTTATTAAGAGGTCTTAGCTTCTGTAATAAACAAGAAATTCCTAGGTAGTCTTGCAGATTAAGTATTTTTCTCACGAAGGCTGTATTTGTTGAATCAAAAGTTGTGATGGACTTAATCAGGCTCCATAATGAAAGATTACAGTGTTTTCGTGTCAACATCTTATCTAAGTGAGCCCCTTTCTTGGCATAACTGTCAAAGGAGAAGATGAGGGATTTCTTAAGATATGACATTTTAACTAATTTGTTACACAGGTGGTAAATATTTGCATCATGAAAAAGATTTGAGGCTTTGCAAAGTAGAGGATGCTCAATTGGCAGTGCCAAATTTGCCAATATGCATATAGAAAGGCAGCCGCTGCCCATGGGCATCTCCCAAGGATTGTAGATGTAAAGGGAAATTCATCACAGCTGTACCCTCAGGCTCTCTGAGACAGCTGGAAGCTTCGCAGCTCTGACTTAAAAGCTCAGCGTAATTGTGAGACAGATTGCAAGGGACCAGAGGCTCCAGCAATAGCTGAATATTTGGGGAATAGCTTCAGAGCAGCTGCTGATTGACCATCCAGTCTTTGGGAATGTTGCAGCTGCTGGATCCACTCTCAGAAAAAAGGGACTGGACAAGGTGATGTGGGCTCCAGAACTCATATTTTTATCCTTGCTAATTGAGGAACGTGACATTTTTCAATTTCTGCTATTAGAAGTTTCCACCATAATTTTAATGTCTTAAATCTGGAGAGGCTACTATATGCATACAGACCAAGCACAAAGTGATATGATGGGAAAAGTTTATAATATGATTAGATTCGTAATATGAATACACTTAAGTAGCACAGACCAGATTATTTCCTGGGATATCTGCCCATAAAGGGAGTGGTGCGGTAGCCTAGAAGTGGAGCTCTCGCCTCACAATCAGGAGGCTGTGAGTTCGATCCTAGGTAGAGGCAGATATTTCTCTCTCTGGGCACGATGAGAATTTATCTGCTGTACAAAACTCCGCATTGGAGACAGGAAGGGCATCTGGCCATTTAACACTCTGCTAGGTCCGTTCAGTTGCCCAGACTCCACCCCACAAGGGATTATAGGGTCAGCATTTCTGCTGAGATCTGAAGAGCCCCTACCCCATTTGCTCTTTTAGAAGGCCCTGAAAATCTGAGACCGCTGCCCCCCCCACTGCCCAAAAGAGTATTGGAGACAATCCAGCAAAGGTAAAGTTCATGTAATGTTTTGGGCTGTGTGAGAAGCATGTTGCTTTCTTCTGCAAAGTATGAGACTTTGATTCTTCTTTATGTTGTTATTGGATCTTGTGAGCCACCTACACGATCATTTATGTACAAAATAGGCAGTCCCTGTCTGAGGGTTAGAAGGTTGGATTGGATGGATAGATGAGAGAGAGAGGGAGGGAGGGAGGGAGATGCAAGCAGGCAGGCAAAAATATTAAAAAATAAAAGTCTGTCAGGCACAGAATGGGAAAGGCAACAAAGGAATTTAAAATTTTCCAATTTTAACAAAGGAAAAAAGGAAGAAACTTTGCTGGGCCAGGAGACAGAAGAGAATGGAAAGTGAAAAAGACCAATGAAGAGTGAACCTTATAATAAATCCAAAGGTGATGAAGAATTCTTCAAAGAGAAGACCAATTTCCTTTGCAAGACAAGGCAATTGAAGATAGAGTAAATGCAATAATTAAGCAAAATGGGGTTCTGGGTAGAGTGAGGCAGGAAGGCATTTCAAAAGCTGTCCTGAATCTGATGGTCTACTTACAGCTACACTGAGGAAAAAACTGTTTTGGATGAGAAGGGAAACATTTTAAAGGGGGAAAAAAAAAACCAAGAAAGTCTAGTTGTCCTTTGAAAAGAACTTTTGGGACCACGATGACCGAGGTGACCGAGATAGATAGATAGATAGATAGATAGATAGATAGATAGATAGATAGATAGATAGATAGATAGATAGATAGATAGATAGATAGATAGATAGATAGATACTGTATATATGTAATCACTCTAAGCGATGTTAGTTCTGGCTATTCTTCCTCAGAAGAAAGAGTCTTGTAAGCCATCAGAACTGCCCTTCTAACTGACTTCCAAACTGCCCACAGTTTTCTAACAGAAGAGCACGGTTTTCTGTCAAGAATCTCCTTTTATACTGTCAACTGTGACAGTTAGGGGAGGGAATATAAAAGCCCGGGAGATTCAAACCTATTAGCTGCTTTCTGATTGGCTTATTTACTTGTCCATTCCAAAAGCCATTAATAGGCACAGCAATTGAGAAATAATTTTTCTCTCACAGTATCCCATTCTTGAATGCTACAATGAATAATTCATTCTCCAAAAAAATGTTAGAAAGGTAACAAGCTGGTTGGATCTCTTCTTCATATTTTCTGGAAAATGTTGTAAAGCCCAGCAATTCTAACAAATGATTCATTGTAGAATGGAATAAATTTTGAAAGTTGTAATTCGTTGAACCTGAGATGTTCTTACTATATTTCATTGAATTATATATCCTTTTCAAATACACTGAACTAACATTATATATGTTAATGGGTGCAGTGATTAAATATGTCTTTTATTGGAAAAGATCTCTGATTTCCTTTTTCAGAAGAGTAGCTTAAATTGTGGGGGTGTGCCTTGATTTGTAGAATAATTTTATATCTAAAAAGTAAAGCTGATGTAGAATTTAAGTGCACTTTTACAGTATGTGCAATTCTTTTATGTGTAAAATCATGCTGCATCCAAAATTTCAGTTTTACAGTTCATATCTTAATTTGATGTATAATTGACAGTATTGATTTACTTATTGTTTGCTAAGTACAATCTGTTTAAGAATGACTTGAATTGTGTTAATAACCAAGTACCATATTTTTTGGAGTATAAGACGCACCTTAGTTTGTGGGGAAAGAAAATAGGGGGGGGAAAAATCTGCCTATTAGGTATTCATCTCACTAGTCCTTAGCCTGGTCAGCTTCAGCACACTAGTTCGCTCGCTGGTTTTGAGGTTGGGGCTGGTTTCGGCTAAAAAACATCTTCTAAAGCATAGCTGATCATGGGAGGGAGCAGCAATTAGAAAAGCAAGCGAAGCAGGGAAGATCGATTTGCTCGCGTTGAGGCTGAAAAACAGCTTCAAGAGCACAGCTGATTGTCAGAGGGAGTTCCAGTGAAGCGCAGAAGGGGTAAGGGAAGGCAGCTGCTGTTCCGGGTAGCCATTTTGGCCACCACGCGTGGGGTTACATTTGGAGTATAAAACACATCCAAATTTTCAGCCTCTTTTAGGAGGGAAAAAAGTGTGTCTTATACTCCGAAAAATACGGTACTTTTATTTAAAGTTTAATAGGGACATGTAGGTTTTGATTAGAAAAATGGGTAAGAAGTATCCTATCAATATTTTAAAAGATATGACAATAAATAGGGAGGAAAAGAAAAGGCCCTTCTCCTTAGAATAATCTAAATTTATCATTGGAAACAAGCCATTCGTTCATTTAGCATACGCAATGTACAATAATTCTCATAGGTTGTTTTCTTCTGGTACAACTGGAGAAACCAAGAAATTGGACTAAAGTAAATGGTCTGTTATGGAATTGCACCATTTCCTACCTGAACATTTACTCAAAAAAAGTAAACACAGCACTTGAATTTGACCAAGGAATTTTGTTTAACCTTAGGATTTCGTTCTTCATGGAGACAAGTTGCCACTCCATCTTCTATATAATTTTCTCCCTTGTGGAGAAGGAAAAGATATTGCAATTCCTGTGATTTTATTTTATTTATTTTTTTTTACAAAAAAGACTGTGAGCTGTTGGTGGCAGTTAGCCTTGTTAGTCACACTTATCTCAATTAAAGTTGTGAAAAGAAATAACATATCCTGGTGTGTATATAGACGTGTGTCAGTATTAAACTACTGAGCAGGCTATACCTGTGGTTATAACAAGAGTTCTTTTCAAGGTCAATGAAACAGTCATACTCATAGGTGAAAAGCTTCATTCACTAAATGCAGTTTATTACTAGTTTTTAAAAGCTGTATTATTATGGTTGGTCACATAGTCAGCATGATGTTTAGATTCCATTTGGCATTTTTGTCCACTATTGGTTTCTTCCCAAGGACCTGGGATAGGCAGATGTTGATGATTTGATGGTGTTAGAGGTATCGTTGCAGGATGTAATTATGATTATTGGTTGTACACTCCTCCGATGAAACCTGTCCACGATGGTTGAACCACTGATAGAGCTCTCCTCCCTGTGATGACCCGGGGCATGGCACAGAGGTCACACAGGCAGCTGGCAGTTCAAACTGCCCCTTTATTGCTCCAAATTTTCCCAAACACTCCCACGTTTCTGGCAAGTCCCAGAGCAAAGTGATAACACATACACACACCTCAAGCAGCCTCTGGCTGCAAACAGTCCAGCCCCATACTTGAGCACCATGGCTGCAAAGCAAGAAATCCAGCAGGGCAAGTCAAGAAGTTCAGGAACAAGGCAAATACCCAGAAATTCAGAAAGAATGCAAGGAATCCAGGAAAGTTCAAACATCAGCATTCAACATTCCAATAATTCAGCATTTGTTCCTAACAAATGCCCCTCCCCCCAGCATTTCTTTAAGTCTCAGTCCCCAGGTGTGCCTTGTAAAGAGGGGCATGGTGCTCTCCTCCTGAGTAGCCAAGTCAGTCTGTGATGTTCTCGCCTTCTCTCCATTCTCTGTGCTTGAGGATCATGAGGGGGCGGTCCCTGCTCATCACCTGACCTCTGTCTCTCATGTTCACTGCTTAGTCTCTTTGGGTCATCCTGCCCCTGTTCCTCCTTGCCTACAAGCCATTCAAATCCTGAAAGACCACCTCAGTGGTGAAATCCTCCATGGGTCGCCATTGTTTTTTTGTTTTTTTTTACTTTTTAAAGCATTTTTAACTAATGGGTCTGGAGAAACGGTAGTTAAAAATGCTTAAAAAGTAAAAAAAAAAAAAAAAAACTTCCAAAGATTAGCTGTGCAATGCAGGATCATCGGAACTTTTTTTTTTTGCTTTTTAAAGCATCTTTTAACTACCGGTTCGGGCGAACTGGCCCAAACCGGTAGCATTTCACCCCTGCTTCTCCTCCCCATTTTTCTCCAAAATCAACGAAGCCTCCCCCTCGATCTCTGTTGGCTCCAGTTGTTCCAGCTCATCTTCTCTCGCAGATTCAGGGTCTGACGGGGGCACTCCCCCTTAAAGTATGCAAGCCTAACAACCACTTCAAGATAGTGCCTCATTGGAATATTATTATTATTATTATTATTATTATTATTATTATTATTATTATTATCCTTTGTATAATTGCAAAAACAATCAATTTAGAGCCTTCTTTGGTGAAACTTGCTAAGATAATGAAGCAAACACTGAATATATAACACAGCACAGTTTCACTAAATATTACACTAAATCTATACAATGAAAAATATCCCACTGTTAAGATGACACAGGGTTAAGAAACATTAATCAATAAATGTGAATGTGTTAGTGGAAATCATTACAAGGAGAATGATTGCTTAAGTACAGAAGGGTAAAAGTCAGTAATTATTAAGTGAGATTCATTTGCTGGCTTGCCAAGATACAAACCTATAAATATTTATTACTTTGAGGGAGGGGAAATGTTTTCTAAATAGACATTTTTGTATTTTGACTTTAGTATGGTTTAGATAATTACATGTACAAATGTTCATGTATTTTCTAGCATGTATTACACACACACATATAGTATATACATATTGTATGCAGTTTGTAAAATAATTTAGTTCTGAAACCAAATATATTTTAATATAAATGTGTTTTCAGCCTCAGTCACTAAAGAGTAATATCAATCTATAATGGATGGGAGATTAACATTTAACATATATATATAATTCATGCAACACTTGGTTGGATCCAAAGAAAATTAATTACACTTTATTCCCATTGAATTTAGGACAAATTAATAATGACTAAACTAAAATCCATTCATTTCACCAGGAATAAAGCAAAATTTACGTCCTCTAAAATAACTACATTGAAAAGTGAAGATTTTGTATCTTTTTCAAATGAAACAAGGTTTCATTTTAAAGAATATCTGTGATAAAATGAAGTTCATTTGTGGTTCTTGTAATAGAATGAAATTCAAATTAGCAGTGTTCATGGAATACTGGAAAAATCCAAATAATTTGTTATTATTACTTTACCTCTTTCAGTGAGATTATTCTTACTCGGAGTTAAAAAAATCAGGAGAATGGAATCACCTTTTCCGACTAACAAATTGTTATTAAAAGACATAAACATATGTGAGGTGCAGCTTATTTCATCAGATGTATAAGTGACTAAAGTGATGTAGCAGGATGTAAATTGGAGATGAAGTGGAGGGAAGATAAGATAATCATACTTCACCACATATAAAGGCATCTCTAAGAACCAGTGATGGTGCTTTGGTCTAAATATGGGGGGGAAAGTATACCTTTGAGATGTCCACTCTTTCTCAAATAAGGACACCACAACATTAGATCTTGCCCCTGCTCCAGAGATGGTGCCCAGAATGGAAGTGGTCTTTGTGAATTGACCATAGAATCTAACAGGGAAAATGGAAACGAAAGGAAAAGAGATTCAATGGAATAAAGGAAAGGTGTCGTCCAATCGACTTTTCTGTCCTAAAAAAAAGCTAGATAATTTGCAATTTTGATACCTTTATAAGACCTTTTAATGTGTTTCTTTTGAAGAGAGCAAATACATTGATATAGATATAGATATATAGATCAGTAGTGGGTTTCACTTACCTTCACTACCGGTTCAGAACTGTGAGCGTGTGCATGCGCAGAGCGTCTGTGATGATGTCCGGGTGGGTGGGTGGGTGGGTGGGCAGAGCCTCCCGCCACTGCTGCTACCAATTTGCCCGAACTGGGGCGAGCCGGTAGAAACCCACCACTGAGAGATAGAGATAGAGATAGAGATAGAGATAGAGATAGAGATAGAGAGAGAGAGAGAGAGAGAGAGATATAGAGATAGAGATAGAGATAGAGATACAGATACAGATACAGATACAGATACAGATACAGATACAGATATATAGATGTGTCTGGGTATATATATATGTGTGTGTGTGTGTATATATATGTTCATATATATGTGTGTGTATATGTTCGTGTGTGTGTGTATACACAATATACAAAAAGAATGAATTTACCATAGCCATTTTGTATATATGATGGAATATTGTTCCTTACCCTTTCATATTTCAGCCACATCCTCAGTCAACATTTCACCTTGTGTTTAGAATCAAGTACATTGAAATCAGGAATGAATTATGGAACTACTGAATTATTCTAGAAGCCATAATTTACTCCCCAAAGTATAAGTAAGACTGGCAAACTGTTCCAAAACAAGGCCACAATTTCAAATAAAAAGGAACCTGACATCTTTCAATATTCTGTCATTGTCAAAGACTTTCAAAAGTGTTAAGAAACTGTGAGACAAACTCCATTCTATATTTCACCCATTGATGCCTTAATGCGCCTTCAGCTCATTGGTATTCCCAAGCTTTTCTACCAATTCATATCCCCTTTTGTCCCCATTTATAAAGGCTTAGAAGCTATATTTATGTTCTTAGCCCCAGTGAGTCTTCCGAAAGCAGCAATTTTTGAGTTGCCTCCAAATATGGCATGTGACCTTTTATTTACAAGAGCAATAAATCAAAAGCTTAAAAGTGTTACATTAGGGTAGTGTTACAGCTGGAGAAGCGCCTACTTATAGTAGTTGAAATGACTGAAAAATATAATGCTGAGAACCTATTTGAAAAGAATTGATGGGATTTAGTCCTGTCTTTCTTTAAAGCAGTATTTCTCAACTGGGGAATTCGGGAAGTCAAAGTCCATATGTGTAAAAGTTGCCAAGGTTAAGAAACACTGCCTGAAAACAGCATGTAACATCTGGTTTTCTTCTCCTGGCCATGTAACATAATTCCTGCTGTGCTTTTGTGTTCAGTTCACTTGCACATGCATT